GACGCGCCCCCCCAGGTACAGCCAGCGGCCGCCATCGGCACCCCACCTGAAACGGCCCAGGTCCAGAAGATTGGTTTAGATATTAGATTTCACTTAGAAACCAAAGAAAAAACTCTAGAGGTGATTCCAGTTCATGATTTGTATGAAAAGTGTATACAACAGATTTTCTGGAGCGAAAAGAAAACTTCTTTTCTGGAGCAGAAATGACAGGTGTCCTGGGATTTAAACAAGGTTTACTTGATGTTAAACAAACATTTTTCTGGAATTTAGACAGGTTTTCTGGAGGTTTGATGATGGGTTTTCTGGAATTTGAACTTAAAGATTTTCTAGAATTTAAACAAGGTTTTCATGAGCACAGACGACAGGTTTTCCTGGAACGTAAAAAAAAGATTTTCTGGAGCGGAAATGACAGGGTTTTCTGGGACTCAAACAAAGTTTTCTGGAGGTTAAAGGACAGGTTTTCTGGATTTAAACAAAGTTTTTCTGGAGGTTAACAGACAGGTTTTCTGGAGCTTAAATGACTTTTTTTCTGGAGCTTAGACAGGTTTTCTGTAAACTTTAAACGGGAGGTTTTCTGGAGGTCAAAGGACAGGTATCTTGGAGATTCAACAACAGGTTTTTTTGAGTGTTAAAAATGGTTTTCTGGAGCGGAAACAATAGGTTTTTTCGGATTTAAACGAGCTTTTCTGGAGGCTAAATGAGAGGTTTTCTGGAGCGTGAAGGAAGGGTTTTCTGGAGGTTGATGCACAGGTTTGCTGGAGGTTAAACAACTTGTTTTCTGGAGTGTAAACGATGGGTTTTCTGGAGCTTAGTTGACAGGTTTTCTGGAATTTAAACAAGAAGATTTTCTGGAATTTAAACTAGGTTTTCTGGAGTGTAAACAACAGGTTTTTTGGTGGTTAAAGGACAGACTTTCTGGGGTTGAAACGAGAATGTTTTCCGGAATTTAAACTAAAAGATCTTCTAGAATTTAAACGAGGTTTCTGGAGGTTAGACGAGAGTTTTTTTTTGGAGTTAATACCAGAGGTTTTTTGGAGGTTAGATGACGGGTTTTCTGGATGTTAAAGGACAGGTTTTCTGGAATTTGAACTGAAAGATTTTCTTGAATTTAAACAAGAAGGTT